TCATATTTTTTGAATTCAACAAGAAATGTGCATAATTTTTTATTTATATTAGCCACCTGATTTTAAATTACGTATATTTACAGTATTATATAGAGATGGGCAAGGTAATAATGTAAGTAATAATTACTTATTTTTTACCCCAATATTTACACATACTATATTATTACTAATTATTCCTATTATGAATGATTATTACTTATTACATTTTACAAATATAATCTGGAAAGCAAATTTTAAACTCAATGATTTGCTGATCAGCTCAAGTTTTTGCTTATATCACAATTCTTATTAATTATTACGCAAAAAATGATAAGAAATAATCGGTAATAATAAATAATAATAGTTTACTAAACTTGCCCATCTCTAGTATTATATCAATTTTTATTGAATTTATTATGCCGAAAAAATTACCGGCCGAAAAATTTTTCGGTTAATTTTTTTATAGGTGTCCCAGGAATAATGAAAACAGCTGTAAAATTGTCGACAATTTATTTTAACTTAAAATCATTAAATTAATTTTCTTTCGGATCTATTACAACTCTTTAAATTGATAACTGATGCTAATATTGTCGGAACTTTTCTGGTATATCTTAATGATTTCTATATTCTTCCTTTTTTTTTTTCTTCCTTTGGCAGCATCGCCGATATCTTTATTAAGACTTAGTATATATATCTAAATACATATTAAACTACTTAATTTATAGATTTGACATCTCCCGGCTACTTCTATGAGTCCCAGGAGAGGTCTGCTGCACCGGTTAAGGATTTTTCCCATACCGGAGGGCTGCACCAAGCTAGCCTCTGAGATCATACCAAAATGGAGGACGTCTAAAGCGGAGGCAAATCATGTGATCGTCGCAAAGCAAAAATACAAAAAACGGGTTAATCCAAAATGTTGGGAAGGCAATCTTGCTTATATATAACTACCTAAAACCTATTCTAGCCCTAATATAGGATGACTCTAACCCTAAAGTTAATCGTGAACATTATGAGTGCTTCCGTCCCCTAATTTGTATCGCATTCATAAAACCGCGATCACAAAACAGACGTGTCGATAAAAAAAGATATATAAGGATCGTTTTTTTTTTTTTTTTTTTTTTTATACCTACCCTTATTACTTTTTCAATGCACGTATAGATTCTATGTTAGGTTTATGGCAATTAACAAAATTCCTTAAAATTAATTTATTTAGAGTTAGGCACTAAAGGTTTTTGAGAAATAAACGATTTTGGCAAAATGGACGTTTGTTTTGAATCTTTCCTGATCATGTTCCGTTATACCTGATTTCTGGAATCTAATTTGTAGTTCAGGATATCTGTTTCAACCTCATATTTTGTTTTATTTATACAGTCACCCCTCTCTATAATTGGGCCTGAAAAATGTAATTATAACAAGGTTTTGCTTATAGCGAGGTAATTTTTTTATATTTTATAATAAGTTGGAACTAATAATAACGTGATTATAACCAGGGTGTGATTATAGTGTGGCTATAGCAAGGGTGACTGTATTTCTATTCGTATTTATACTACAGTATTTTTATAATTTTTATAATTTATATATTTTTAACGATTTTATACTTTTCATTTGCTGTTTTTTTAATGTTTTCTTTTTTATTTTGCTGTTTACACTCGTTTTTACCATGCGTAAGAGATGAATATGTTAATGTATTAACGTGAAGCTCCTACGGTAATCGCTTCTTGCAATGTTCTCAAATGACTGAGTCATTTGCATTTTGAAATAAACTTTTTGAGTCATTTAAAAATTATGTTAAATCATTTGAACGTAGAATGCTCAAATATCATCAAATTAATTTATTTTATACTTGATTATACTGGCTAATAATACAGTCAGACCTCCCTAAATGCAATGCGACGGGACCATATATAAAAATTTAGTCAAGCGTGCATATTGCATTTAGGGAGGTAAAAACCTATAGATATAATATTCGTTGGGCCCAAGAGAAGACGTGCATTTAGGGAGGTGTTTCATAGGACGTGCATTTAGGGGGGTCTGACTGTAACTGATATTATTAGTTATCTTATTTAGTGAAAAAGTTTTTTCATTTGGCCATTTAAAAGTCGTTCGAGCATTTGATCATTTGGCCATTTAAAAGTCATTCGAGCACACTGTCTTCTGGTCTTTCAAATTACACTTTCGACAGTAGTAATTTCAAGTAAATAAAACTTTAACGAAATTTTTAATGAGCGATAATTCAGATGCACAAATAATACAAATAAAAAACAGTGAACAAATATTATAAACATGATATTACAGTGTTAGCACAACAAACCAATGTTCCAGTTTATAATTTCAGTGGAACAAAATTTGTCCAGTTGCCCAATACTCCCAATACTGCATGTAAAAGAAAGAATAGACGGGTAAAGAGTCAATAAGTAATGAAGAGCAAACATGCAAGTTCCAAGTAGTTATAGAAAATTATTTAAACATTGTAAGGAATAGGATGAATTACTACTGCGTGTTGACACGCGCCTTCCTGAGGTACTTTAGGTCACTTTGATTATTTACATTTACATTCAAACCTGTCTAAATGAATATGGTCGGTGGACCAATTTTGTATTTATTTAGACAGGATATTCATTTACAAAAAATTAAATTATATAAAAATATTCAATTATTATAAAATGCACCTATTATATGTTATTATTATGTTTTTAAAATTTTCTAAATTTTTATAAGTTTTGTATATAAAATTTTTAACACCAATTTTTTCACGTTAAAGTTAATATTAAGGTTAGGATTAGAG